TGTATATAGTCTGATAATCTTTTAATACTTTTAACAGTTTAATGTGGTTCCTGATATGTTTGGATTTAAATTTACCATTTTATTATTTATTTTTCTCACATGTTGTCTATTAATGTTTATTCCTGTTCTTGCCTTTTTTTAGTTTAATCAAAATTTCTTCTTTTTCATTTTAATTTTTCTCTATGAGATAGTTAGATACATATTCTTTCACTATTTTTTAGTAGTTACCCTAGAGTTGACAACAATAATCTTGATCATTAATGTCTAATATAGATTAATACATTAGCCACTTCCAAAACAATGAAACTTAGAAAAGTTTAAATCCATTTAACCCCTCTTTTTTGTTATTTTTTATGTACTTTACTTCTAAAATCTTAAACCCCAAATTATTTTTGCTATTTTATATAATTAATACTCTAATTTTTCCACATATTAACCTGTGACTTACTATTTATTCTTATTTTTTCCTTTATTTTTAGGTTTCACTCTGAGGTCACAGTCCTTGTGCATGGAAACTTTTTTTAGTACATTTTTAAATGTGATTTGCAGACAAAACTGAGAAAATTCATCCACAGCAAACATCTTTATTGACTTTATTTCTGATAGATATTTTCAAAGGTATGTGAATCAAGGAAGGCATTTTTTTCCTGAACTTTAAATAAATTATTCCATTTTCTTTTGAATTACACTTCCTTCTTTTTTCTTATGAAGAACTGAGGGTTCAGCATTATTTTTCCTCCTTGAAGACAGTGTCATTTTTGTTCTTGTTGTTCTTGCTGTTCTTACTATTAATCTGCCTTTATCGTATGATTCTGCTTCTACTTTAGTGTTTAATTATCAGTTCTGAGTTACTTTTCTGTCTACCTACTTTATATACTGTTACTTGTATTTTATAAAACCAAAAGAACTCTGAATTTTCTCTTTCCATAGCAACTTGCTTTTAGTGTGGGCTTTTTTTTTTTAATGTTCTTTGAAATCTCTCTGAGGATATTAATTATAATCATGCTGAAGTTTTCTTCTGTTCCTTTATATTTTAATTTTTAGATCTGTTATATATTGAGTTTTCAATGTCTTTCTTGTTTTGATCACATTTTAAATGAGAATCTGGTTTAAACAAAATTAATAACTGGGAGTGTATTTTCTCAGGCTAAATGATAATTAGATTTGCCTGGCATTTAAAGCCACTTTGGATTACAGAAGTTTGTTTCTTGTGATTGCTCAGGAAATTTATGGGGCTTGTGACCAAGTAAAGTTTCTTCCTTGTTTGTTTTCTGGAGAAGGTGGTTCCCACCCCTGCAAATTGCAGTAAGTTCCTCCATACATTGGCTTTGGTGTTCCATTTAGAGAAAATCAGGATTATGAATGCAGTGAGTGGTAGTATTGGCATACAGGTCACATCCTTTAATTAACCACCACTTCACTGCAAGGAGGACCCACTCCCTGTAGCTCCATTATGCCAGTTTTTGGGATCAGTCCAAGGTTTTGCTCAGAAAATCCTTTTTTTTGTTTTTTCTTTGACATCATCTCTGTTGCTTCTATGCAGTTTGTAGATTCTTCAGTTGACTTGAATTTCACTCTCATTCTGTTTCCATTTGTTTTACGCCCTTCAAAAACTATTTACTTTGAGATCTGCTGGTAGAATAGTCCTGTTTTTCAACATTCTGATGTATTTACTTTTATGTTTATTTCTTATACAATTTGGTTTTTTCATTGAATTGTTTGTGGTTGGAGAAACAGAAAACACTTCTTTCCAGTCAGTTACCTTGAATGAGATGATGGTGTCATTTCTTTTTAAGTGAACCTTTTCTTTGTTGACCAGGAAGGCACAGTTGTTTGGAAACACTAACTTGCCAGGTTTGTAATCAAGTTTTAATTTAAAACTCATTTCCTATGTAACAAAACAAAAGATAATTCCAAATGATGTTGAAATATTCTCAACAGAAAGCCCTACATCATATCAGTCTGTCCAGTGTTGCCTTCATTGAACAAGACTTTTGCCTTCTGAATGTGTCTCCTCTCTTAGAAGCAAGACAGCCTACTCACTTCATTCCATTCCATCCCCTCTCCTCCTCTTTCTTCCTCCCTTCTTCCTTTTCCTTTTCTTTTGTTCTTTCTTTGTAATGATAGTTTTTCCTTCCTGTTACAGATCTCTGATTTTTTAACAGAAGAAAAACATTTTTTTATTGTTTTCAAATATACAAAACTGAGGAACAAACGTTGATATAATTCTCAAGAAAGCATGATTTATGGGTTCAAACTCTCCTAATGACCATCTGAATCCGTAACGATTTGTCAGTGAACATTTTCAAGGATTGCCAATAGATCACAAAGGGTCTTTATCTGTCATCATGTGACAAAGGTCATGATGCAAGAATTCCTCTATAAACTCTGAAATGACTTGGGATCTGAGTCAGGAGCACTTATCTCTTATCACTTCTGTGCTTTGATTTCATTTTTGATTATTATCACATATGATGAGTCACATTTGAGGATAACTGTGGTACACTTGTAAACTCAAGTAAATAACACTTTTCTATCTTAATTCACAATGATCAGAAATCTATAGGATCTTAGGTGAAATAAGTAAAATAATGGTTCTTGATTGACTAAAGTTCTGTCTTGGGGGAGCTCACTGAACTGCTCTGTTTTGGAGTTGGGTGGCTCCTGCTTTGATGGAGTAGAACTAGTCCTTGCCAACTCCTCCCAAAACTTTGGGACCCTCTTCAGCTTG